GGGGATGGGGAGGAGGGGGATGGGGAGGAGGGGGATGGGGAGGAGGGAGGGCGTCATGGGAGGCGCCCCTCCTGCCACAGCTCATGGAGCACACTGGGGACCTGGACACTAGGAAACCAACAGAGCTGCGTTAGGACCACAGACCAGGTGAGCACAGGAGGAGACAGGACATCCTCACTTAGAAGCGATGGGACATCTCTTATCAGTAACAGTCTATCTGAGGTTCTTACGTTTTCTTGAAAGGAAACCAAAAGCTTGTCATAGAATTGATCTTCATTCAATACAAAAAGAAAAGAGGACTATAGTCCAATATGTGATTTGTTTTTTTAATCTTTAATTTTTTTTTTTTTTTGAGACAGAGTCTCACTTTTGTTGCCCTGGGTAGAGTGAGTGCCGTGGCGTCAGCCTAGCTCACAGCAACCTCAAACTCCTCCTGGGCTCGAGCGATCCTGCCTCAGCCTCCCAAGTAGCTGGGACTACAGGCATGCACCACCATGCCCGGCTAATTTTTTGTGTATATATTTTTAGTTGGTCAATTAATTTCTTTCTATTTTTTTTAGTAGAGACGGGGTCTCGCTCAGGCTGGTTTCGAACTCCCGACCTCGAGCAATCCGCCCGCCTCGGCCTCCCAGAGTGCTAGGATTACAGGCGTGAGCCACCGCGCCCGGCCTAATCTTTAATTTTTTTGAGACAGAGTCTCACTCTGTTGCCCTGGCCAGAGTGCCGTAGCATCAGCCTAGCTCACAGCAACCTCAGACTCCTGGGCTCCAGCGATCCTCCTGCCTCAGCCTCCCGAGTAGCTGGGACTACAGGCATGCGCCACCACGCCCGGCTAAATTTTTCTATATATATATTAGTTGGCCAATTAATTTCTTTCTATTTTTAGTAGAGACGGGGTCTCGCTCTTGCTCAGGCTGGTTTAGAGCTCCTGACCTTGAGCGATCCTCCCACCTCGGCCTCCCAGAGTGCTAGGACGACAGGCGTGAGCCACCGCGCCCGGCCTCAAAATGCGATTTAAACGGTCTAGCCATCGGACCACCTTGCTCTCTGGGCAGCCGACAGACTGCACATCCAAGTGTTAGCATCATTTTTCTACAGACTCGAAACCCAGCAGCTCCTGGGGACAGAGGAACCAAGGTGAGAGGACACAGCTCTGGCTTCCTGACAGGGCTGGGGCACCGTCGCTGCCTGTCACACTCTGCCGTGGCAACGGGGCGGCAAACCTGGAATCGGGTCTCGGGAGCGGCCAGCTCGGGCTGAGCTCCTGGGAGCCCACCCGGCCCGTGCCCGCACCCGGCGGGCAGCTCAGCAGGGCGGCAGGAACCCACCTCGAATCCGCCGATCATCAGCAGGGCGTGGATGTTATGGTTGTGCATCTGCTCAGCGATCGCTCCCAGGTTCTTCCCCGGCAGAACCCTGGGAACGGTTAAGTCAGGTCAGAGGTCAGACGCCACATGCATCACGCTGGAAACCCTGCGGAAGCCACGCTGCCCGCCCACGGCGCCCAGGAGCAGAGAGCAGACCAGTCCCCTCCCGCCATCCTGGGGCCGACAACAGCAGGGCAGGGCTAGGCAGGAGCGGTCGGCCGGGAATCTCATCCCAAAAAGGGAGTCGTTGTGCATTTAATCTGCATTGAAACATCCTGCCACCTGCAGCTACGCGGGACACCAAAGCTCACTGAGATTCAGAAAAATACTTTTTTTTTTGAGACAGAGTCTCGCTCTGTCCCCCGGGCTAGAGTGAGTGCCGTGGCGTCAGCCTAGCTCACAGCAACCTCAGACTCCTGGGGGCTCAAGCAATCCTCCTGCCTCAGCCTCCCAAGTAGCTGGGACTACAGGCATGTGCCACCACGCCCGGATAATTTTTTTTTTCTATATATATTAGTTGGCCAATTAATTTCTTTCTATTTATAGTAGAGACGGGGTCTCGCTCTTAGCTCAGGCTGGTTTCGAACTCCTGACCTTGAGCGATCCTCCCACCTCGGCCTCCCAGAGTGCTAGGATGACAGGCGTGAGCCACCTTGCCTGGGGCCTAGAAAAGGACGTTTTTATACCAGAATTCCCGGGTGGCAGAGCTGTGGTCCCCACCAGCACCGACATGCTGCGGACAGTGCTCTGGGCTCGCTCCGGCGCAGTGACCAAGCCTTGGTGGCCCTCCCGTCCCCTCTGCCACCCCAGGGGGACTCCCTGGGCCACAACCTCTCATTTCCTGGGCTGAGTGAGGACAGGTAAACCTCCCCGAGCTGCACTCTCGAGGAACATCCCCCGTGGGGAAACAGCAGTCCCCAGATGACGCCCGCCAGTCCCTTCTGGGACGGGCCCCCCGTTCCCCTTCCCACAGGGCAGGTGGGGGTAAGGGAGTCCAGGTTTGGAAATCACCGTTTTGTCCCGAGGATGGACCCGCCCTGGCCCGTCCAGCCGCCGACGTCTGTCCAGCTGATTTCTTTGATCTGACGGGAAACACAGAGTGAGACGGCTATGGCTGAGGAAGAGAAGGGAGTCAGCGCTTTGCAGAGAGAGAGCTCCGACCGCCGTAGCCACCGAGATCTGCAAAGACGCTCTCGCCACGATGCCTGGCACGCCAGGACGTGATGGGTCCCCTCCCCCCAACCCCAGGGGGCAACAACCAGCCGAGGATCCCAGGGCACTGCTGTCAGCAGGAGGCCCTTGTGTTTGCTGCGTGCACAGGGTGGGGAGGGGAGGGGGCGGCAGGCCGAGACCCCGGAGGGTAGGGAGGGAGGAAGGGGGCGGCCTTCTTGCTCAAGGTGAGGCTCAGGCCCCAGCAGGCACCTGCACCGCCCACCTGGCCTTTGGCGAAGCCGTCGA